TTGGTCCCGGCTCACGGGTGAAGGGAGGGTGAGAAAATTCCCACACTATCGCACCTGTGCCTATTTTAGCTATCATTTTTATGTCAAAACAGAAGCGTCGGTATTGAGCGTAAATCTCTTTTGTATGGTCGCTATATAGACGACTGTTGCGTCATGTGTCCCAACCAAGCGGAGTAGACACTTGCTCTAGCATATTAATGCAACAGTCGCCCAACTCGTATTTACGAGAGTAACCCTCCGAGATATAGTTAGCTTTTCTAAACGTGCAAATTCAGTTTGCAGGCGAGACAAAACCAAATGATATCGCAAGCTCAGTAACAAAAACATCCTTATACATTCCTTGTCGGCGCACCCGATAGAATGGAGAGAGCTATTGTAGGTAACAACAAAACAGCTGTTCAAGTAACCTCCGGCAGCATAAAACGCTCATGGTGCATCGACATCGTTCACAAAAATTGCGGCATCTAACGGTTATACCGCTCGAGAGCACACCCTAAGGGCACATTGGTGCTCTCGGGGCCTCGTGATTCGAGCAGTACATCCGGAATCCCGTTCTGCCTGCCATTCATCTCTGATGAGTTGACCAGTGCAATGCGGCGATGCGTACATCAGACGAATGTGCAGTGCGACGATGCCAAGGCGTTGTCGCGGTGATCGATATTTCCCCCGCAAATCTTCAACGGCAATTGGTTCGAAACCGCGCTTACGATCGCTTCTGTCCAACACCTAATTGCGTGTTGTGACCATTTGGTGGAGTCATTACATGTTATCCGGTATTGTATATCTTAGAACATGTTTAGCATGCGGAGACACATACAATGAAACGAGCCGAAAAGGCCGCCCTCTCTTCTGCCGCGTTAAGGAATATTTAGATGGCGTAAATAAGTTAAAAGCAGCCACTCGATTGCCCACCTAGTGCCTGTCTGAGAAGAGCAGAGCCACTAATTTACATGAGTTTTTCAAACTTCTTACATAAATCTGCTCCACACCTAACGTTCACTATATATTTAGTAACATTTAGGTTTCAAAAATCCTCCTGTTCTCTTTGCTAGAGTCCGAAATCGCAAACGATTTGCGGCTCTAAAGAAAAAATGCGCGTTTCAGTTAATCAGCCTGCGCAAATGAAACGGTCAAGTGGCAAATCGTAATATCAATGTAGCGAAGACGTATTCATTTCACAGTGGTCCATTTGCCACTTTGCCGGGACCTGCGATAAATTCTTTTCAAAACTTGCCTAATCAAGCAGTTTTGTTAAAGGCATCACACTAGAAATGATCGCATGCATTTTCAAGAAAGTGTGGAAGAGTTTAGTTGCATATACAGTGTGTCCCAAAAGTAAGTACACACTTTTCAATCGTTAATATCTCTTTTCTCACTGGGTCTTCTTCCGCCAATCAAACACTGTTCTGTAGAGGAGGCTTCAACTTAGATTTACAATATGGAGCGAACCATCGACCTCTCTCCAATACTGTAGGATTATGGTTAGAACTTCCAGCATGTGGGGCCATTGTGAAATATGTCATCTGACAAAATTTTTTTTCAAAAAACTGAAAAATCGTGCACTAGAGTTTTTGCGCACTCTAATTCCACTATACAACTTTTTATGAGTGTTTTCGGCTTTTTTGACTGTGGAATCACATTTTTGACAATTACTAGGAATTCGGTTATTACGATCTACCTGGGATAACTTTGTAAAGAAGCATCACAGTAAAGTAGAAATTTCATATTCGAAATCAGCGGCTTCCATTACCATATTATAAGAGTTTTTGGCTTGTTTGGGTTTATTCCAAAGCAGAATGTGGCCTCCAAAAGCCTAAAATCCTTGTCGAAGTTCCTACAGTAATCCTATTCTATTCTATTCTTTATTTCAGCCATATATCACTTAATCACCTGGACACACTTTTTTTGACGAAATAGACTGAGTTTTAAAAAGAAAGAGAACCAACGACACATAAAAACACAACAAACATGAATCGGAAATCAAACACAAAAAGAATCTGGCGATGAAGCCATCTCACTTTGTACTAAGATATCATTAGATTACGCGATCTCAAGTATTCCATAAGCTGAGGTTAGAAGCTAGTTGATGATGAGTACCTGAACAGTAGAGGATCTAGAGAATTCCAGAGCATCTGCACGCGGCAGATGAAGCATTGCTTAAATGACGCAAGACTGGGTTTTTCAATGCGAATCTTAAAACTGTGACCTCTCGTGTAGTTCGCACGATACGGATGTTCGAAGATATCGTATAAGTCGAGATCCAGTTCATTTGTTGTAAGTTTGTACATAAATGTTAAGTCGGCAAGAAGTCTTCTATCCTCCAAAGTATTTGCTTGGAGTTTCTTCAGCCTGGCGAGATATCCTACAGTAATAAAGAGCGATCGGTGAATCGCTCCATATTCTAAATCTAAGTTTAAGCCTCCTCTACTGAACGGTATTTGAATGGGAGAAAGAGGGCCAACGGGAAAAGAGATATTAACGATTGAAAAGTGTGTACTTACTTTTGGGACACCCTGTATACCACTGAGTTCGCTCGTAGCGTGCGGTCCGTTTTTAGCGTGCTCTTATCTTTCTCTTCTAGTAAACTAGATTTCTTTCAATTTCATCGCCTTTTTCTGTTTTGTCATCTGCCTCAATTGTTGTGTTCACTGCACGTCGATTCTTTTTTTGAAGTGGTTTTCCTTTTTTTGTCTCATTGATTCTTGCCATTCTCTCCAGTTTGGGTAGATCAAAACGATGCCGGCAAATCAGTACCTAGCAAAAGAACTGCCGGGTCGCCCCGTCAATTCTTCATTAGATACCCAAAGTGGAATTCACAGCTCTACCGCTGACGACACCAATTACAGTCAAATGACCACATTTGATTTTCTTCATTCTATCATAGAAAAGAACACAGACCCTGTCATTGGCGGGATGTTGAGTGCACTTTCTGATAAACTGCATGAAGAAATTTGTAATGGAATAGGAGAAAAGCTCCAAGGTCTGTTGTCGTCAGCGGTATAGCTGAACTAACAGAAGGTCTTCGTACATCTGAACGTGCGTTGGACTCGAAAAAGAAAGGTGGAGGATGCATTTGATTCACTTACTATAGACTGTAGCCAGTGAATTTTATCGCATTGGTAAACCTGGTAATCGTCCCCGCCTTGTTAAGGTAGTACTCCCGTCGTGGTTCTACGAAGGTCCTCCCTTATGCTCATCTCCTCCGTTCTTCCGGTTTTTCTAAAATCTTCATACGTCGTAGTATGACCGAGGAAAAAGGATGAGGGAATTTGAGCTCCACCAGCAGGCAAATGAGCGGAATAGGGGGAAGCCAGAACGTGAATGGGTTGAAGCAGGGGCAATTCTTACACGTTTCTGAGCTTCCCCGTAGTATCTCGGGGGAAACCAGATTTCGCACGGTGTTGGAACTGATGCCAAAGATACTTTGAAGTGTTTTTGTTCAATTTCAGAAGTATAGTGAACAAGATAGACCACCTCCACACCTTTTTGTGCCGACAAGAACCTGATCTGTGTTTTATTACTGAAATTTGGTTATCACCAATACTTGATTCGGAAATTTTGTTGCCATATACGATACATCGTACCGACAGGAGGAAGAGGGGAGGAGGTGTGTGCATGTGTGCAGCTTGATTAGGTGAAATTTGCATAAAAAGATTGAACCATTTTACAGTTAAAGATAAACGTAATATTGATTGAACTTTCCGTTCCTCCGGCTTCAATCTACTCAAGTTTATCAATATATATCGTCCACCTAATTCCACGCAGTGTGATGACGAACAGCTTTTTGAACTTTTAGTCAATATGACATTTTCTCATTCCAGTGTTGTCATTATTCTTGGTGATGTGAGTCTGCACATTGACTGGGAAAATCTCATCTCGCTTGACCACAGTTCCAGTTACCTTCTCAAATTTTTTGTAGACTGTGATTTCCAGCAGTTTATGCGTAAGCCAACATATGGTAACCTACTTGACCTGATTTTTTCTACCACAGAATGTAAGTAATGTTGAGATATAACCACCTTAGCTTCTGCCGACCACAGTCATAGGATTTCACGTTGAAGAGACTTGTTCAGCCCAACCTATGCTTCCTATTCCTGACTTTTTCAACTTTGATTACATAAGCCTCAACGAATTCTTCTATTTGTTAATTACCTGGGCGCTCATTTTCGAAAATTATTCCTCTATGGAGGAACTTTATCGGAGTTTTTGCGCCAAAGTCTATGAAGGTCTGGGAAGATTTGTACGCTTGAAAAATCGTAGCTTCCTTGGTTTCAGATACCCAAAACATATTTGTGCGCTAATTAACCAAAAAAAGTAACCTGTTTGACAGTTTCCAAGTTCCGTCTGTTTTGAACCTGGGCATTCTTCGTATGTATTGTGTGTCTTCTTGTGCCGTACAGGTTGGTAGGTGGTCCTTTATTATTTAGGCCCGTATGCACGTACATCCCCGCTGGGGAGGGGAGGGGAGCTGGATCCCCAGGGGAACGATCCCCTTCATTGAACCCCGCTATGCAAGAGGGGAGGGGAGCGATCCCTCCCCTGCACTTACAGCGGGGATGGTGAAATTGCGTAATCGGATCTACCTCACGGCTACCAAAAGAACTCGACGAAAAAAGGAGTTTTTGATTAATTCTTGTGTGGCAATATGGTTTTTGGAATGTAATGGACACAAATAGTGACTTTTGAGTGCCTTATTTCCCTTTCTAACTCTTCTCCTTTCACTCCTTACATTGTATCTCTCTCTCCTTCGCTCTCTTCTTCGTTTTCCCTATTACTTGTTTTGTGCCTTCGTTATACTCTTGCTGTCAATAATATTGATTGTTGAAATAGTATAACTCTATTCAGCAATTCATGTTATGGTCGTCTCACAAATATGTTATGACAATGTATTTCTCCCATAAAGGAACTCGTGAAAGTGCTGCATTTTGTAGATTCCGTGATTTTTCAACTTACCGCTCATTCTTTGCATTACTCTTTCGATTACTCAAATTCAATATCTGGTTTCAGAGTTTTGGATGCTGAAAGTTGCCTGCCTTTGTAGCACTGTTCCGACACAATGGATGATAAAAAGGTAGCGGTTTATGCGAATTTTTATATTCCCAATAGATCTTCATTCAGATGCGAATAACCGCCATGACGTCCCCGGAAATGTGTATTGTTTCGCAATGGTACGTTCAAAATTATGATGTGTATCACGGAATCTCTACATCATCCTCGAAAGACGGACTATCATTCACGCAGGTAAGATTATGCATTTATCTCCATATCGATCGAACGAACCCCAGGGGATCCCTTCCCCTCCCCCTCTCGAACCCCGTATGCACGGATGTGACTCAATAACACGGGGGAGGGGATCGACATCCCCTGCGACGGAGTAGGGGTTCGGTGGTTCAGTTGATACCAGAGAAGCGGATATTCTATTTTCAATCGGTCACTACAAAACATTTCGTTCAAATTGATGAAAGGTATTCGCCAAAAGTCGGGTTCCTTTCTCAGCGACCTGTAGCTTGCAGTTTTGTCTCTTTCTTCTATATTCGCTTCTCGCAAAGAAATCCGTGCATATATCTATCAATTTCGAGTTTTTGTAGAGGTTTCTGATCATTTATGAGATTCGCGCATTTTTCATACGACATGATAGTTTTATTCCTACAGGCTAACTAAACACATTGAAACTATCATAATGTTTGATATGTAGTCTTTATCTTGTTATTTCAACATAAGTTCCTTCAAAAATAACTGAAAATTAACGGATTTGACAATTTCTGTACAGAGATCCCCAGGGGAGTGATCCCCTCCCCAGCGTTCCCCTCGTGCATAACGGGGATGGCCGCGGGGGATCGTTCCCTCGGGGAAATGGACGATATGTCGCAAAAGCTACAGTTGTTTACGGAGAGCTGACGCGATTTGCAGCTTCAGTTAGGTGTAGAAATGCTGGCCTGAGCGTCTGCGCGACCCTCCCCCTTTTTTTCGGCAACACAACGCCTTCTACCCCCATTCCCCAGTAAATACATCTTGATTTCTATTGCTGATTAAAATCATTCCACTTTAGCGTAAACAGAAGTTGTTGGAGGATATCTGTGAAGACCTAGTACGTAACGGCTTTTCAAGGCGGACTCCTGAGCAGATCAATCAGAGGATAAAAGATACACTAAAGACGGCGAAAAAGATAAGCGCGTTAGAGGTTCGTCACCTTTTCTGAGAAACAGCACGTATCAACGTTTTTTGCAGCGACATGAAGATACAAAGACAGGCGGTGGTCCTCCGACAGCCATTGCAGCTGCTCCTCATGTGAAAATAGTAATTGAAGGCTGCGACAACAGACCGCGCCTTTTGGGTCTAAAGAAACCTTTGGAGATCAATGCAAACGCTACAGTGAGTTGTAGACTAACGTAACGCAACGTCTATCCTATAATTTTCCCTTACAGAATGTCCCAAGCATACAGAGTGCTTCAAACACACAAAATGTTTCGAACACGCAGATTATTTCAAACATAGAGAATGTTCCAACCACAGAGAATCTTTCAAACACGAACACCATGGATGTGGACGTCATTTATGAGGAGTGTGTAACCCCAATCGCAGAAGAGGTATTTTGATGTTGGGTGAGAACATGTTCCTAATAATCTTTTTGAGGTGGACGTATTTCCTTCCGCTACGAACGACACCCCTGCGGTTACTCCGCTGTCCTCGGGATTGACTGAAAATCCTCCACGCAAAAGAAGACGCTCCACCCCGGCCTTGACGTGAGTATCAACTTTTATAACACACATCTAAACAATTTTCAAAACAAATTATTTTCAGAGACGAAAAAGAACAAGTTTTGCAACTCGAGGCAGAGCGAATTCAAAAACAAATTCAAAACGAGATTCTGCGCACTGAAGTACTACAGCAATCAATGGAAAACAAGAGACAAAAAAATGTCCTGCTCTGCCTGCAATGTGAAGAGGTAAAGGCAAGAATTGACTACACGCGACTACAAATGGACCTGGCAAGGAACGATGAGTAGGTAGGTTAAAAAAATTCTTCGATTATCCTCCTTATGAGAGCACGGCCGGAAGTAGTGTGGACTTCCTGATTTTCTTCCCCCATGTCACTTTCAACCACTTCCAGGTCGTCGTCGTCCTCGAAAAGTGGCTCATTCCTCTGATTCGCAAGATTGCGCAGCACCATGCACGCTATTGTAATTCTGGCTGCGGTGTCCGGATCGTATCTACAACGATAATTTTGGTTTTGCATCTCTTCGTTATTGATCTTGTCTCAAACTATTTGGTTTTCTATGCTACTGAATGAAGAACTGATTTGATTTGTTTTTTTTTGTGTTTTCCTTCGAAGTTTACAAAATAAAAATGTGTGATGTAGTCGTTTTACCTGCATTCTGAATGTAGTATGTGCCATTGGCGCTTTAGCATCCCAAAAGCCTGCTCAATTTTCACTCGCGCTGAGCAGATTGCACGATTGTACCGTTGTTCTAAAAAAAAAAGAACAACAACAGTAAAATTTGGTTTAAAAAGCAAAAAACTACCTCTTACTGTGTTGGCCTGGCTCACAACTTTGATTAAAAATGATTCTGCGGTGTAAGCTGAATCACCTATGATGCATCCCCTTTTTCTCCTTGCCCTTAGATCTTTGTAGAGTTCCGAAGATTTGAAGACCCTGCTGTCGTGGGCGGAACCGGGCCATGAAGCGCTCACCCATCGGAATAAAAAATTGTCGTCGCATATGGCTCCCACATTTATTGAGTGGTACCTCTTCCTATTTATGTAATCCACCGCATTCTCTCTGGGTGCCACAATTCTAACGTGCGTGCCATCAATCATCCCAACAATGTTGGGGAGTCCATACTTTCGATAAATTCTTCGCGCAATTTCTTCTTGTTCTGCAGCTGAAGGCCAATTGATGTATCTTGGCGCCAACTTCACAACAGCATCCAGAAACACACGTAGGGTCCTCGAAACCGTGCTTTGGTTACATCCAGCAAGACGCGCTGAATCGGCTTGCATGGCATTTCTTCCCAAAAGGTGAACACACGCAGCTACTTGTTGGGCAACCGTCAGAGACGTTCCCCTAACCGTTGTATGCGCCAGATCTTCTCTAAGCATCTCGCAAAGTTCGTAGAACACCGGACGAGTAAAACGAAAATCCTTTCGAAACTCGACGTCCGATAGCGTTTCGAAAGGGCAAGCGCGATCTCTATATAAACGGAGCCGTTCCGGCTCATCCTCTTCGCTAGCGCTGTCTTCGAGCAAAAATTCGTTCAAGTTCAACATCTAAAAACAGCGCCCATGATTTCAGTTCGAGAGCATATTACTTGAACTAAATGAGCAAAACGCATGGATACCTTTTCGGCGATGACTTGAGGATAGATAATTAGCTTTGCGGCGATGCGCCTGAATTAGTCAATTTGTTTCTCAGTCAACCTTGGAGAGGCTTTATACCTACCACACGCAAGATCCTTTTGCAGTTTAGCTAGGAGCTCGAAGGGCAAATGCCTCTCTGCAAGAAGCAAATTAGATGAACTGCATTCATCTGGGTCTACAACTCTAATTTGTTGTAAGTTTTCGAACTATTTCCTTGCCTCGCAACGGGCAAGAAGCTCTCAGATATAGAAAGCCACGCAAAAGCAGTGGCTTTTATTCAAAAATACGTACGAGACATTTTTTTTGCCAAAATTTGATATCTAAGCGGTAGAGTAACAAGAACAAGATGAAAAGAATAGAAGACAATCCTCTAGTGTGCAAGAGAAATGATATAAAGTTACGAAAGTCTGACCTTTGTTACGAAATATATGTGTAAGGTCAAGGCTTGAGACACGATAGGAAAATCACGAAGAAACAATCAGAAATAGTAAAAGTAACATATAAAAACAACATAGATCGAAAGAAATGTTTGCAGATAAGCAAAAAAAACGAAGAAAACGCTCCCGTTTCGTTCCTACCCTTGGACGGGAAAAAAAATGAGATATAAAGCCCTCCCCGGAACTCATCAGCAAGGGAGGAGGGCTATTTGATGAAAAGGACAAAAGAAAACATTGTAGAAACATTGAACAAACACAAAAGAAACACAGAAAGAAGAACTATAACTTACTAAACTGTTCCACATCGCGTCCAGATAGCATTAGGTAAGTTCAGGAATAAATGAAAACCATAGACAACAACAAAGCTGAATGCAGTTCGACTTCTAACCCATTTCAGCGAGTAAAAAGTAACCCTATACGCAAAATATTCACAAATATCGTAAAAATACGTGAAAGATTCATTCAGAACGAAAGATCCTCCCCCACAAACTATGTAGGACACATTTCCATGAGAATGTGACACTACACAGAAGCAAGGCGGGAAACAATCAGAAAAATCAATAATCGTAAAATCTCATTTTGCTCAAAAAAGCACCTGCAGAGCCTGTGAACAAAAAAGAAGAAAGAAAACAAAGAAAATTTCACATGGCCCGATATATACAAGCTAATGAAACAAAAAACAGGACATAAGAGGGTAAAATAACTCACCTCCACGCTAAAGTGAACAGCACGTGCGAATATGAGCAGCATCCGTGATGATAGCAGCAATAGGCCATATTAGGCGTAAAAAATATTATTTTGGGTGCGGTCAGCGCAGTCACGGCAGACACACGCACTGCAACGCCTAAACTATCTGTGAACAAAAAAGGAAGAAAAGGAAGGAAGAAAATGAAGAAGAGTCTACAAGGCCCTATACGTAAAAACTAATGAAACAGAAAACAAAACATGATAAGATAAAATAACTCACCTCCACGCTAATATGAGCAAAAGGGCCAATGTGAGCAGCATCCGTGATCGTAGCAGGAATACTTCATATTAGGCGTAGAAAATATTATTTTGGGTGCGACAAGCGCAATCACGGCAGACATGCGCTCCGCCACGCCTAAATTCCTGCCGCTGAGTAGATGAACGTGAGCAGCACTCGAAAGATAACAATGGGGGAAATTCTTTCGCAGAAATTCGGAAGCAGAGCTGTTCCCCCGTTTGATCCCCTCTTGTGCATAAGGGGGTTCACTTCCCCTCCCCACAGGGGATCCCTTGCCCGATATTGTCTTTGTGCATACGGGGGTTCGCGCGGGGAGGGGAGGGGATCCCCAGCGGGGATCATTACAATGGTTAAGCGCACATCCCCTCCCCGCGGGGATGTACGTGCATACGGGCCTTAGTATCAACGGCCTTACGTTTCAACGCTTTCGTCTTCGTCAGAGGCCTAGAATGGTTCTGAGCTTCATCAGTGAGTCCAGCCCACCAAATGTCTCCCCTAGTTCTGCCAGATTTCGGCCTTCAACCCAATCTAGTTGCCACAAAAATTGCGAAAGCAAAGAACCTGTGCGGCACAAGAAGAACACATAATACATACGAAGAATGCCCAGGTTCAAAACAGACGGACTTGGAAACTGTTGAACAATGTACCGCCACACTTGTTTCGTTTAACACGAGAAGCACTATCGCTTCGGCAAAAAGCGGTAGCTGCCCGACAGTCCTTAATATTCCTCCAACGGTGCAAGAGAACGAGCATCATACCGGATTTTATCAAAGTAAAGAAGATTGGATACACTTGTGGCCTCAACGAGAATGATAAGAAGATCACTAACGTATACCTCTCCATTTCAAACATTATCATTTGTGAAAAACAGAGGTTATTGTATTCCACTTTGTTAAAATGTGATGCTGAAGAAAAGGCTTGTGAGCGTCTCTTGCCTAGTCGGAGTTGGAGGAAAACTAAGGATGGTTCTAAGTCAATTTGTGATTAGATCCGATCTAATGTCAAGTCTAAGCTTCTCGCAAAGTACGACCGACTCTCGATCGAATTCCAATTCAAATTGCTCATCTGACAAAGCCGGCCACTGCTCCGAACGTCTATCATCATGCGATCACAAAACGACGAGAGTGACGGTTGTTGGTGACATTCAAGTCTCTTAAAATGTAATAGAGCTTCTTAGCTTAGGTCCCTCCTTCTCTCCTGCGCAGAATATCAACGCCAGTACTTACCGAAAGGTAGTTGGAGGTCTGCACAAGCTCAGAGATATTCTCAGAATAAAAGCCAGTCACGCGAGCACTCAAGATAACGCTGCCGCCAGTCATGGCCTAATGCCGACGATTCCTTTTTCACAATCCTTCTATAGACAGCCTGAACCAAATTTGAACGTGGATATGAAGTTCCGTACCTTATGCTCTGGTGTTTTAGAAGTTTTCACTAAGTCCAAGCAGGAGCACCACTGCAACCTTTCTCGAACACAATGGAAAGGTTTTAAAGAGATACGTAGACTCATAACAAATGGTTCTGTGCGTCTATCAGTAAGTGATAAGGGTGGTGAATTTGTGGTTATTCCACAAGAATTGGATCGTCGGATAACAGCTGCTTATCTCGCAAATGCTACAACGTATAGAGTAGTCTCTGAGAAAGAATATCAAGCCCAAAGTAAAAGACTTAACGATTTTTGGAGTGCAATAGGGAGATCTGCTGGGTATCCTGACAGATTCGTTAGCAGATTGAAAGTAACAAGTCCATGTTGTCCAGTCTTTTACAGCCTTTTCAAAACGCACAAGCTTTCCTTGCGCGAACTACATTCAGTGTCACCGGAGACTTATAAGATTAGGCCGATTGTTGGTTGCGTGGACGGTCCCGCTGATCGAATATCGTGGTATCTGAACAAAATTGTGAGCCAACTGTTAACGAAAGTACCAGCGCATTTATCCAACTCCCGTACGTTTATTGAACAGCTCCGCAATGCTAAGTTTGATTCGAGCGCAGTGATAGAGTCGTTCGACGTAACGTCTCTCTACACTAATGTGCAGAACGACTAAGCTTTGCAAGCGCTATCGGAGATGTTGGATGAGTATGCTGGCACGATAAATATGTATGGACTCAGCAAGGCAAACGCGATGGCCCTAGTAAGCGAGTGTCTGAACTGTAACATCTTCAGATGGCCTGGGACTTATTATTCTCAGATACGTGGATTAGCTATGGGCCAAAGACTAGCACCAGTTCTTGCCATATGCTTTATGAGTAAGATCGAAGAGCCGGTGTTAGCGCGAATGCCACTGCTGTATTGTCGTTACATCGATGATTGCTGTGTTGTGACATCCACACAGTCTGAGATGGACAAGTGTTACGAGATTTTGAATCAGCAATCACGATACATCAGGTTCACGCGTGAGACACCACACGACGGATGGCTGCCTTATCTAAACGCGCAGATAAAGTTGACCGATGGCATTGTAAGCACCAAGTGGTACCGCAAGGAAAGCCTTAAAAACATCCTCATTAACGTCAAGTCCGCACACCCTGCATCTGTCAAACGTGCTGTCCTTAGGAATATGCTCAGAACGGCAATGCAGACGTGCAGCGGAGAGGATGAACGGCGCGAATCGCGAAAGCTGGCTACCCAAATTGCTTGCAGCAATGGCTACCATCCCTCACCACATATTCGACATCTAAAAAGTGGTGAGCACCGAGCTGAAAACAGACTTCCACTTTGCCTGCCATTCATCTCCGATAAGATCAGCGCGGCCATTCAAAAATGCATAATTCGTGCACAGCTGCAAGATGATGTTATGTTAGTCAACATCCCAAACGACAACATCAAAAAAAAGCTGGTGCGAAATCGGCTCTACGATCGTTACTGTATATCTGAGCAATGCGTTGTTTGTCCGCACGGGAGACTGGGAGACTGCGCAAAGATGGGAGTTGTGTATTTACTCGAGTGTTTGAGCTGCAACGCACGTTACATTGGGGAAACAGGAAGAATGCTTAGCATTCGCGTAAAAGAACATCTTGCAGATAAAAGGCGAAAGAACATGGCTTCAACGCTTGGCAGACAGAGGCGCGAGGCGCATGATGATGAAGATTTTGACATTAAAGTCACGATTCTAACATTTGAAGAGGAGATCTCAGCTAGGAAAGCTATGGAAGCTTTCTAGATTTCTGCGAAAAATCCAGAAATGAACAACAAAAACGAATGTCTATCAATAACCGCTGACTTTCTCCCGTTTATATCATTATGCGAGTTATGACTGTAGATCATTTACCATACAATGCAGTATAACTCATTCGTCCGTCGCGACCGTCTCCTTCCGGTACGGACATCTGATGACGATGTGGTGGTTCCCTGGTATGTCTTTGCTTTCGCAATTTTTGTGGCAACTAGATTGGGTAAAGGCCGAAAACTGGCAGAACTAGGGGAGACATTTGGTGGGCTGGACTCACTGATGAAGCTCAGAACCATTCTAGGCCTCTGACGAAGACGAAAGCGTTGAAACGTAAGGCCGTTGATACTGACTAATAAAGGACCACCTACCAACCTGTACGGCACAAAAAGAACACACAATAACCTGTTTGAGACATCAAGAATCCTCTATCCGATTGTCTTTACAAAAGGTTTGCTCTGACTCAAATTTTTATCTAAAGAAATTTCTGGCAAATTATGAACGTCGATTGTCTAGCAAAACTCCAAGAAATTTGTTGGGATATATAGGCCGTTAATTGCAAACAAAGACTAATCTCCCCATTCTTTGTGATTCAAATGGTAATATTTGTGAATGATGCAGAGAAAGCGGAAGCTTTAGGTGAACATTTCGCCAATGTACTTTTGAAGAAAGAAGATGAGAGCTATCTTGAAATCTCTTAAAACGTCATGCACGAACCTTATAATGGCATTTCTCCCATAGTATACCGAAATTGTGCGGACACTCTCTCGCAAACTCTTTCTGATCTATTCGGTTTATCCATTGCTTTTGGTGACATCTAGTTTGTGAAAGGAGGCCATGGTGACTGCAATCCCAAAAACTACTTCTGCTGCAACTGTCTGTAATTTTCGATCCGTAAGTCTAACACCTACCATCAAAGTTTATCAGAAGGAAATTGCTCCGTGGGTTGCAAAAATTCTGTGCAATTCCTCATGAGCTACATGGTTTTGTTTCCAAGGTCTACTACAACCAACTTAGTGAAAAGTGTTTTTGACCGAAGAAAAGCCCTTAAAGGCAGTGGACAGGCAAAATGGACCCCTGTCAGATTTTGGTAGTTTCGGGTAGTGGACCCCCCAATTACACCGTAGCCCCAACCCCAACTTCCAGATTATGCGCTAAGTCCTGAAAAAAGC